AGAGACCAAGAGGGAGGGAAGGAAAGGAAGTTCCAGCCAGCAGAGGCTTGGCAGCCCGGCTGCTGAGGAACAGAAGAGCGCAAAGCCAAGGAGAAGAAGGTGGCGGTTTCCTCCCAAAGGGGGCTCCTTTTCTCCACCCCTTCCCTGGGTTTGTGGGGAATTTCTCGTCACCAACGCTGACAGGTGCTCCTTCGAGCCCGCCGCGAGCTTTCTCGCCCCCTTTGCTTCTCCCCCCCCGCTTTCGTGAGGATTGTGGCGTCCTTGGGAAGCTGATCGTGCTTTGAAGCTTAGGAGAGGAGAAGGAGTCCCTTCCTCCTTCTCTCCCTCTCTCCCTGTCGAGCCCCGGCGGGCTCGACATGAACGGGCGGGGGAGGACGGGCGGGGTGGCAAAGGAGACCGGCGGCCGTCGCCAGACCTCCCGGCTGACAAGCACAAGTTTGGGGGTCGCCAGCTGACGGGCGCAGGAGTTGGGTGCTGCGGCAGCCTCCCCTTCGCTGACCTGCGTGCACGAGAAGAAGTCAATCCGGTTGCTGCACAATGAGTCCCTGGGGAGGGCGGGGCCTTGCTCTGCGCTTGCGCTCTTCATGCGCCCCCTGCAGGGCACATTTGGTAGAGTTCGTGCAGACTGCCGCCAACCAGCATATTTTCCACAAACAAGTGAGGTGGAGCGGAGGGGGGAGGGAGGCGCCGCCGCGGGGGGAGGGAGAGAAGGCGGTTGACAAGCCCTGCCTAAGACCATCGGAAATGTGTGTTTTCCGATGGTCTTAGGCGACCCCTGTGAAAGGCTCGTGCAACCCCCAAAAGGGTCGCAACGCACAGGTTGAGAACCGCTGGTTTAGAGGTTTATAGAAAATATTGAAACCAAAAATTAATACAGCGGAAAAGCAGAAGAAAAACCATGTATGCTTTTGGTTCTCCAGCTGAGAAGATTTCATGTGCTGAGACTGCACTGAATAAAAATTTGCTTGCTATTAGTGAATGATACTAAAATGCAAATAAAGCAGTCCACATTCTGAATAGCAACAAAGGCAGAATACTGTGAGATGGGGAGAATCTATATTATGATTATGATGATATCCCTCGCTTACTTTGTACAATTCAAGCTGACATGCATACAGTAATGCTTCTTCTATTTCTTAGAACAACAACCTTGTGGGGTGGATTGTTTTAAAAAATTCTCCCTAGTTTCATAGAAGGTAAGGTTGGAGAACATCTAATCCAACCCTTGTTCAGAACAGAAATCTACTACAGCGTCCTTTGCAGATGGCAACTACCTTCTACTTAAACCCACCCAGGAATATGGAGTTTTAAAATAAAATGTAAATATTCCCCTCCCCCTCCCCCAAACTACCAGGTCTGTATGGGGAATAGAGACCCTATGGGAGAGCCGGGCTCAAATTTTGTATCCCCTTTTATTTTCTTTTTCAGAGAGGAAATGTTTATTTTTATTTTTCTAAGTGTACTTAGCTTAGTATTAAACAGTCTTTGGCTTCTTTGTTAATTGTGCCTCTTTGATCAAGCTTCAGGATTCTGACTTATTTGAGGAGGTGGTGGTGACATTTCCTGATGAAGACCAAGTCCCTTCAGATACTGAGCATGGAGATATATGCATGGAAGCTGGACAGCAGGCTGATGTAGACATATGTTTGCTTGGTAAGGGACCTTTGACCCACCTACTTAGTGCCTTGAATTGCTTCTCTTTTTCTAAATGCATTTTTAAAATTATTATTGATGTATGCATTCCCACCATGCAAGGATTATATAAAATGGGAAACACCTAGGACCTAAAATGTATACAGTAATATAAATCCTAACAGATGACTACGAATACTTTTAAGAATAGCTCAATTCAGCTTCTCAAATCCAGTGTCCTCCAGATGCCATCATTCATAGCCATAGATCTGAAGACCTGTCAATGCAATGAGCCTTAAATTCCATTCTTTTTCCTCTTATATGACCAAATCATGGCCTGCTGTGATAGCCTCAAGTCTCAAAGGTGCTTTTTCAAAAGGCAACTGGACTGTGTTTTTTCCTGTGAGGAAGAAGAAGTCATTTCGCTTCTCAACCAAGAAATTTCATCAGTTTTGGCTGGATGATTTTTTTTGGGGGGGGGGAGATGGAAGAATTAGTTCTGATGGGATGTTTGGGAGAAATGGAAGGATTATATTTCTTTGCAATCGTGTGGTGGTTAGCACTCTCTCTGAGAGCTGTTGGGGGTTTATTTGTGCCCTCAGGGTCACTGAATCAGAGTATAAATGGGTGTGGAATCTTCTTGAAACTGCCGAAAGGACTACATTGTAGACAGGAGATAGATGGATGTTGTATCCCTCTCCCTCTGTTAAGAGAGGGCTGTTCAATTCTAACATAGATGGCCTCTATGACATTCTGGATAGAGAGGAGTATTGGTTTGAAAGAGGGGTAAAAGAGGCCATCTATGTGTGAATTGAACAGCTCTCCCTCAACAGAGGGGGAGGAATACGACACCATCCACCTCCTGTCTACAATGCAGTTCTTTCAGCAGTTCCAAGAAGATTCCACACCTATTTGCATTCTGACCAGGAGGGCACAAATAAACCCCCAAATGGCTTCAACTGCTCTCAGAAAGAATGTTAAAGACCAGATGACTGCAAAGAAATATAATCCTTCTACCCCACCCCACCCAACATCCTGTCAGAATTAATCCTTTCATTCCCCTCTCCCCCATCCAATCAGAACTGATGAAGCTTCTTGGATCAGAAGTGAAACGTCTTATTCCGCAAAGGAAAAAAAACATAGTCTAATTGCCTTTTTAAAAAGCCCCTTTGAGACAACCATGACCTGGATGACTGAGAATCTCCATAGACATCCTTCTCAAGTATAATAAACTGTTTCGTATAAACAATAGAATTATTAAAACAGACCTGAAAGCTGATTATGGTTGGGGATTAAACTATGGTAGATGCATACCAAGACAGGAACAGGAACATGCAGAGGTAATTTGTGAAGCCTATAGTTTGCAGATAGCAACCAAGTTATATCCCTGCAATTTTCTTTTTCAACTGGGCTACCATTAAACAACATAGAGCCTTTTTTTTCATGAAACTCCAGTGAAGTGAATTTGGAACAATGTGTGTTCATTTTCTGTGCATAATGCAATCCATTCCTGTGCTGCCTTGGCATTGAATTCCACAACCTTATCAGGGTCTTTGAAAAATATGGACAATTATTGACTTCCGGTTCTGCGTCACGACGAGACGGACGCAGGAAGGCAGGGCTCTGTCTTCCGTGCCCAATTTTGCCCTGCTGGGGGCCCTAAAAAGGGCCTAAAGTTGCCCTGAAGAGGCGATGAAGAAGGAGGGGTGTCTCGTCGATCACGGAGAAATGGGGTCTTTCTGTTAAATCCGAGAAAAGCCCTCCAAATCGCCAGGGGAAAGACTGGCTACATTCCTAGGGCCAGCCATTAGCTGCTGACAACCGAAGAAGAAAAGCACCAATTAACACATCGTAAACAGCATGTTTGGAACTGGGTGAGAATATTGATCCTTTCTTTACTATTTTACAACTGAATTTCCTGGGAAAGTCTCCCAAGAAGCTAAAAACCTCCAAATGTGAATGGAAGAGATGTTTTAATTTCTATGGGGGACAGAAATACACAATATTGAAGTGGAAGTAACATAAAGCTACAGTTTTGAAATTTGAGAACTGAGATAATTGTTAAGATTCTCTCTTTGAAAAAAAAAATGAGGTGAAACAACAAATCAATCCTTTGTTTTAAGAGTGGAAAATGTATTTTGAAGGACATCTAGTGGTGGATCTGAGTATAGCACTATAACTAGCTTCCTGCCTGCTTGGTGATTCCTAGCCTAAGGGAGAACAGCTGGTAATAAAGGAAAATATTTTGGCATGCTTACCACCCTGACCTTGTTGGACTATAAACACTCACTGAGCTTGGACTTTTAATCTCAAGAGCTAGTGGAAGAGAAAGAAGAACTTGACCTTTGATTGTGTCTGGCTGGGAAAGACTTTTGAGCTGATTTCAGGGAGGTTGAACACTTTGAACATTGTGGATTATAACCTTGCCTGACTGACAATTTTTGGATGCCTGAGACAAAGATCACTATAAAATATTGCTTTTGGGACTGGACTTGTATTCTAAAACCTATTGGATTATAAAGGCTGCATATAAAGACCAGAAAGCTAGAGGAAACTTCTTACTGAGACTGGTGATATTAGAGGATCTCCAGGAATGATGCCTCAAGAAAAAACAAATAGCTTTCAGAAGGAAATATACTCTACATTACAACTAATTCACCAAACAATTGTTGCATACAAAGAGGACATAAAAAGAAACCACAATGAGACTAAAAATAATTTAGATAATATAAATGAGCAAATCTGCAAATTAAATCTACAACTAGAAAGTTCCCAGACGACTACAAAGTATGAACAAATAAACCAGAGATCGGAAGATGAAGCAGAGGAAATGGATCTAGAGACAGAAGAGATGAAAGAAGGGAAATATAAACTACCATACACAAATAAAATATTACAAGACTTACCCATAACAATGAAATTGCAAAAGACCCTTTACCCTTTAAGATTGCAAGATACACCTGGTGACAAGGAAGAAGATTTTGGGGGATGGAACATAGAGCTATCAGGGGAAATGTTGCAGTTTGGGAGACAAAAGATGAGGGGAGAAATTGAGGGAAAAGGAAGGTGGGAGTTGCTTAAGAAACATAAATGGGCGGAATTCCCCCTCAAAAATACTCTGCGTAAATTGTCTTTCTCATGCCAAGCAACTTTCATAAAAATAGAAAGAAAATTCCCGAGCGATTTAATTGCCTTGGCTTGGAAAGCTACTTGGCAAAGAAAGAAAGCAAGAATTAGATTTAAAAAATAGAAGATTTGACCTATTAGAGGGGGCATCATATGTTAAGTACTTGTTTGAATATGGTTAAAAGAACGGATAACCCTTAATTATAATTAGACTTTTATAATGAAAGAATTAAAATAGCATTTTTTTCTCTTCTTTTGATATGGGAAATATGAAAATAAGAGGAGGATTGGTATGAATAAAATTTTTAGCTATATAAATGTAGTTAATATTGAGAAAATCATAACTGACAAAGATACTGTAAATATTGATGGGAAATTAAACCTTGACAAGAGCACGAAAAGCAGGATATTGATTAATGAATTGATATTATTGTTATTTGTATAATATTAGTAAAATATGATGAAGATGTTTATATTTAACTCTGTATACATCAATAGTACCAAGAATTGTAATTGAGTAATGAGGGGAAAATGGAAAAAAATATGGGGACGAAAGGAGGATCAGGGAAAAAATACTGGACTGTGCAGTACTGAATAGACTTATATTGAAGAAGTTAATGTTAAATATGTGAACTCAGACAACATGTTGTTTACTAAGCTCTGAAGATTGTAATTCTTAAAAATTAATAACACTTTAAAAAAAATATGGACAATTACTAACCAGTATTGTCAGGCAGAAACCTGCCAGCTTTCCTTTATGCTGGTCTTTGACTATAATAAATATTTGATTTGCCAGTTTTCCTTTTAAAAGATCTAAAAAACATCTTGGTGAGTATTATTTATTATTATTTATTATTTATTGAATTTATATACCGCCCTATCTCCCTTACGGGACTCAGGGCAGTGAACAGGCGATAATAAAAACCACGATAAATATACGCAAGTTTCTGTTCTAAAATCAAATTAAATAACAGGCCTGCTCTAAAAATACCCCATACAAAACCCCCACTAAAACATAATCAAACTACGCCAGGCCGGCCGCACGGAATAGATGGGCCTTCAGGGCTCGGCGAAAAAGTATTCTTTACATATCTTGAGGCATGTTTTCAAGTAAGCTTTAGGTTTGGCTTTTTTCCTTTCTTGCATAGGATCTTCTGACACAGAAGCTACCTGGGATTCTTCTGCAGATGAAGGAGAAGGAGGAGGTTCAGGTGAGTCAAGACCTTCTACAGCAACGTGTAGGAGGAAATTCTGTTAGGAGGATGAATCTTCCTACTTCAGAATAATGCCTCCGGACCCCCACTTATTTTGAATCCCTGTAACATTACCTCAATCTGAGTGCAGCCCTCAGCTATCAAAAGGCTGGCCACCCTGGCTATAACAATGAAAAATCTTTACAGTTCTTTGAACTCCAAAACACTCTTCTCGTTAGTAAATGGCATTAATTTTTGTTAATTGCCTGAAGGCTGCTGTCCTTAATGGCGCTCGAGCTCATTTAGTACTTAACAATGAAGCAGATGAATTCAGATTCTCTTCTGCATCCGAATAATCTTATATTATCTTATGTTATTTTGATTATTGTGTACCAGGCAAATAGAGTATCCTTTCTTTTTAATGCACCAGAGCTTTCTGTAATCCCAAATATGTTGAGATTACAACTCCTAGAGTTTCTGACAATAGGGAAAAGGGAAATAAGGTGAAGTCTTCAAACAGAGCTTGACTCCTGGTGATTTCATGTATAAATGGCCCACCATTGCCTTCTTCCATGATGACTTTTGATTGCTTAGTCTAGCTTACAGTTCCCATCTAAATACTAACCAAGCCTCACCCCTCTCTTAGCTTTCACATCTAGAGCACATGAGCCAGGTGCTGCCGTAACTCCTGTCCTGTGGAAGATGTAGTCTCAAATCATCTAGACAGTTTCAGGTTGAGGAGGGCTAACTAAGAAAATCTGCAAAGAGGAGACCACTTTAGGAGGGACATTATCTGCTGTGTAAGATAAAAAGGAAAGGCTCTTTTAAGGAAGCGCCTATTGGAATATGTGTTTGTGTGTGTGTATGTGTGTGATGTCTCAAACTAAGAAAGTATTTTGCTTCCTTAAGTGTCTCTCATGTGGCATAATTAATTCAGTCAATTAACTAAACTGAATTAGTAACTTGGCTAATCATGGTTTCCCCAGTGTGCAATTAATCCAGTCAGTTTTGTAAAATGAATATAGTAACTTGGCTGGTCAAGGGTTTATTGAGTCAGCAAAGCTAGATGATGTCTATAAACTATTTGAATTCTCTCCTTTTCCCACATCAAAGCAGGTGCCCGGACTCCCAACAGAGCAGATCCTCAGATGGGATTTGGAGAGAGATGCAATGGAGCAGTACAGCATTTGGCTCCGAAGAGGATACGGATAAGAGAGAAACGCCACCCTTGCATTGAATGTGGAAAACGGTTCCGTTGTCAGTCAGAGCTGGCCCTGCACCAGAAAGTCCACACCCGGCCCAAATCCTATCACTGTGCTGAGTGTGGGAAACAGTTTGGTCGATCCTCACATCTCACCAGGCACCAGAAAACCCACATGGGTGAGGAATGCCATGTCTGCATCGAATGTGGCAAGCGATTCCGTTGGTCAACGGAGCTTGTCATCCACCAGAGGATCCATGCTGTTGAACAGCCGCACTACACTATCGATGCTGACACTTTGCTTCAGTGGCCCCCCGAGTTCAATATGCCCCAGAATATTTTTATGGGTGAAAAAGTCCCTCCCAGTGGTGATATGGTAAAACCTCATGTAGTCAAGAAGCCTCACCTCTGTCCTGAGTGTGGGAAAGGGTTCCGGTGGCCCTCTGAACTCGCTGCTCATCAGAAAACTCACAACAAGAACAAACACTACCTCTGTCCTGAGTGTGGGAAAGGATTCCAGTGGCCCTCGGAGCTGGCGGCCCATCAGAGGACCCACGCAGGCAATGGTTTGCCTCCCATTGCTGATTATGAGAACAGCAACAGCCAACCACCTCATCACCCTCCCTACCTGGGAACTGGCATGGCAGAGAAACGGCATCTTTGCGGAGAATGTGGCAAGGCGTTCCGATGGTTGTCAGAACTTGCCACACATCAGCGCATCCACACAGGAAAAAAGCGCTACTTCTGCACAGTGTGTGGGAAGGGGTTCATATGGCCTTCAGAGCTGGCCGCTCACCAGCGAACCCACACTGAGAAGCAAGCTTACCAGTGTCTGGAGTGTGGGAAAATATTCCATGATCTCTACGGTCTCACAAGACACCAGAAGACGCACTTGGGAACCAAGGTCTATCCTTGCGCGGAGTGTGGGAAAACCTTTAGTCGGCAATCCCATCTGACTCGGCATCGGATCACTCACACTGGCGAGAGACCTTACCCTTGTATCGAATGTGGAAAACGGTTTGGACGGCAGTCACACCTCACTCGGCATCTGAGAATCCACACGGGAGAAAGGCCCTATCAGTGTGGTGACTGCGGAGTGAGGTTTAGGCGGAGACACAGCATGATGTACCATCAGCGGATCCACTTGAGAGAGTCCAGTGGAGGTCTGGACATGATAAACCCTCCTAACGCAGAAAGCCTTGCTGATCCTCTCCAGAATCCTATCCATGTCACAATTTGACACGTTGGGTGGTAGGGAAGTAATTTCAGAAGGAACGTGGGATGTGTGACTGGGACACCTTGATCACAACATCTGGAAGAGATTCTCGTGATGTATTATTTCACCACCTGGAGAATCTGTATCACAGACGGGGTCCAAGAGGCACATGTTTCAGGATTCCATACAGCCTGTTAGAGAATGCTAGCACAGGGCCTGTGAATTGTGCAAACGATGTAAAGGATTCTGTGACAAGATGCCCACACTGTCTTCTGAACAAGTGTTGCTTTGTAGTTGGGCTGAAAACAGGGTTGCCCCCAGAAACAGGTCTGGTAACTTGGTGGCCAGGTTAGCCCGTGGTCCTAATTTTAGATTTGGCTCCTGCAAAGCTTTTGTGGCGGGAAAGAAACATTTGATAACCAGGATGGGTCTCCCCTTGCTACTTATGGCAGACAGAGCAGTGTTTGTTCCCTGGAGCATATGGTTGTGGTGGGGTGTTGGACAGAATCTGCTTTCCTCACTTTCTTCACTTTTTCTTTCTGTGGCACATATGTGGGTCAGGTCGGGATTGTTGCGATGAGAGGACTCTGTGGGGCCATCATGTTGTTCCTTGCAGGGCAGGGCACTCTTTGCATTTACACTGTTCATATGTAGAAAGACATCGGTAATACATTTCCCACTCATATGCTGTCGCAGTGGGGAAAACTGACCTTTCCCACTTTTTAAAATAATAATATAATAATAAAAATCTGTTATGTTGCAAGAGTCTGATTTGGAGTGAAATACAACCTATTACTTCATATGGCCTTCAGAGCTGGCCGCTCACCAGCGAACCCACACTGGTGGCAATTCTTCATTTCTACCAATCCTCCCAAGGCAAAGAAATCAGCTAATCAGTCTAGATTTTGGAAGACAACATGGCTGGCTCTCCAAAGATACTCTGCAGATGTCTAGATCTGCATTTTGTTTTACCCTTAGCCACCACAGTCATGCTGTTGTGGTGATGTGAGTTGTAAGGCTGCACTATTATTTATTATTATTTTTTAAAGTATTTATCAGTGGGATTTTTTTTTTATCCAGTACGGCCTTGAATTAAAAGAAACCACATTGCAGTACAGTGAAATCACTACAAAATAACAGCAGGACTAAGCTGTTGTTTCATAACCAAGTAATATTAAAATCATCAGAGATGATGAAAGGCTCTACGAACTAACCACCGCAGTATTTCTAAAATGTGAGGAATGACAATATCCACACAGCCTCCTCTGGAAGGAGATCCAGAGTGATGGTTCTATGGGAAAAAAAATTCCCTCCGAAGTAGCCTCTTGGTGGAGGGAATGAGTAGAGATGTGAAGGGTTGGAAAACAGATGTTGCCGTAACCTCCTAGCTCTGCATTTCTGAAATAGTGTGGTCCTATGTATATTTACTTAGAATTATATCCCACTCTTTCAGGGGGATTTACTCCCTAAAAACTATTTGGACATAAAACTAAGAGAGTAAAAGATTTGGTCTCTAGATTGGAGCAAAGAATACATTTTTAGTGACTGTTATCAAATGCGAACAGAGAAGGAGTTTTGAAACGGAAATGAAAAGGGTAACCTCAGGAGTGTTGGAGATGTGAGGAAAGGCCGTACTTTGAGTTTTGGTTCTAAGATCTTTTTTTCCTCTGTATTGTTTTTGTAATAATAAGAGAGACTTTTAAATTTCCACCACTGCCTCTTTTTTTTTATTTTGATCCACCTTTGGAACTGGAATTCCTGAAGAATGAACATCCTTTTGGAAATAACTTCAGAATAAAGAGCTTTCTACAATTAGTGCCTTGTGTGCAGTTTCTGAAGACCAACTTCAGGCTGTGGACCTTGCAGAAAGGAACAAGATGATGCTTTGGAATGGTTCATAAACTCAAGAATACCTTTACTCCAAGCTGTGCTTTTTCATACTAATTCTGCATTTTCTATTGGCACTCATTTGGTTTGTTGAAAGAGAGTTTGCTTTCTTGCAGAGAAATTCTCTTCTTGGATTTAAGTGAAATTGAAGTGTGTTGTTCCTGCAGTCATTGACTGTATTTAACCTATTAAGCATTTAACTTGGTTACTGACTTAACTCATTTGGGGAGTTTGCACAATACAATGAATCCTAATCCTAACAAACAGCTCTGGTTTGCATAACAACTGATCTGTAATCCGTAATTCCAAATCCTTTTTTTTTGAAGTAATCCTGTGTTTCTAAGGATGCTTAGAGGGGTTATTTATGCAGGAGATTCCTTGGACTAGTACCGTCCTGCACTGGAACACCCATGATTTGTAGAAAAATGTCACCCGAAGTGGAAATTATGAGATTATAACTTAATATTTCTAGAGGACACCAAGTTAAGAAAAAATCTTGAAATATATTTACCTCATACAATAGTTCATAAACTATGTCATTAGAGCAGTGGTTCTCAACCTTCCTAATGCCGCAACCCTTTAATACAGTTCCTCATGTTGTGGTGACCCCCAACC